CAGTGGTCCCCAACCTTGGGCCTCCAGATGTTCTTGGATTGCAGTACCCAGAAGCCTTCACCACCACCTCTGCTGGCCAGGATTTCTGGGAGTTGGAAGTCCAAGAACATCTGGAGGCCCAAGGTTGGGGACCACTGCTTTAGAACATGTCCAGCTGGCATGTACAAAGTGATGCACAGAGTGCAGCACAGAGTAGGAGTAAGCCCTACTCATTTTGCCAGCCTTCTGCTCCCGCTGATAAAGACTACAGATGGGCATGAATTGAAAAACGAATTGCTAAATTAATGAAAAATCACTAATTTGTTGATTTGTATTTGTACAAATCAATGCCCCCTGACAAATACGAATCAACAAGTTTTTAGGAATTTTTAATTTGTCAGTTCCCCAAGCCAGCTGCTAAAGGGCACTTTCCTGGAGTGACCCACTTAGTGGGTGTATAACTTGGATGTCTGAAACCCAAACTTCAACAAACTTGCAGGGCTGGTAGAAGAGAGTCAGGGAAACCTCTCTGTGATCATGGTGTCTGTAGGTGCTTGGGAGAATCATTTTACAGGGTATAAAGGCAAAAACAAATTTATGAATGAATCATAAATTCATTATTCGAAACCCAAACTTCAACAAACTTGCAGGGCTGGTAGAAGAGAGTCAGGGAAACCTCTCTGTGATCATGGTGTCTGTAGGTGCTTGGGAGAATCATTTTACAGGGTATAAAGGCAAAAACAAATTTATGAATGAATCATAAATTCATTATTCGTCAACCTTGAGAAATCATGAATCAAAATGAATCACCATTCTTCTGATTCGTGCCCAGTTTTAGTAAAGACAACAACTGCAATTCCTTTCCTAAATTGTAACTTCACTATATTTTTCTTCTAGTTCAGCACTACATTGCTAAAATGGATAAAGCACTGATTGAATGACTATGTCTTGGTAATTCAGCACTATTTCACTTACTGAACATTTAAAAAAGAAGGAATTTGAATGCTGGGGAAAAGCGTGGCAACAGCGAAATAATAATGAATTTTATTTCATTTTATTTCATTCATTTATATACCATCTCATTAATGCAATGCACTATTCTAGGTGGTTAACACGCTAAAGAAGAAAACAGTAACAAATACACAATAACCCCAAACAATATAAAAAAACAAGATAAAATATATTTTTAAAAACCAAAGCCAGAAAGTGTAGTGTTTCAAAATGGCAGGCAATTGAAAACAAACATGAGGCTACTATCAAATGCATCTTTAAAGAGCACCATATTCAGTAGCCTCTTAAATGTAGGCAGGGAGGAAGATGCAATTCAACCAGGAACTGATTCCAAAGTGTGAAATTCACAGCTGAGAAGGCCTGACTTCTTGCTGATTGGTTTTTTTTTCCTCTGGCCTCCTTTGGAGGAGCATTGCCTGGGTGGAGCTGATGGTCCAGGTAGATGTTCTTGTGGAAAGGCACTCTGCCAAGTAATGGGGTCCCAAACCGTGGAAAGCTTTGTAAGTAAGCACCAGGACCCAGCAACGTGATCCAGGATGCGACAGAAAGGGGGAATAATGGGGAAGGGGCAGGATAAATGATGTGTGCATTTCTAAAACTCACCTTCCTGGGATAAATGAACATCCCTGTGTTAATGATGAAAACAATTCATCAATTCAGGGTACAGTATGGAGAATGACATGTCAACCTGGGACAACCTTTCACATGGCCATGCTCTAAGTTGTAACACTGCCCTGTACAGTATAATTCCATCAGTGTTTAAAGGTTTTCTAATGGCTTTGAACCACAAGTATTTTGTGACTTACAATGCTGGTGGATTCAGCGTGCAGAGTTTGACTTACATTCAGGTCCAGACCCCACTACTAATGCAGACAAAACATGGCTCATCTCTCAATCATGGCTAAGATCTCACTTTCAGCTACCACTTGAAAAGCAACTGGGGTCAAAGTTGATTTGTCATTCCTGTTTATTTGTTACGTAAGGAGACCAATGCTCTGATTTTCCTCCCTTTCGAAATAGTTGCTCAAAACAGCTTAAAAATATAAAAAGCATCAAAGTAATAAATATTGAAACATGTTTACAATAAGCTAAAAGCAACATCAAATGATGACAAAACAAAGGCAAACAAAGGCTGTACCTCAGCATAAAGTTTCAACTCAATTATTGATAAAAGATGAGAAGTTTTGCCATGGGCCTATGTACAGAAGAGGGGAAAAACATTGTCTGATCCTGTTATCTTAGCCATGCTTAAGAAATTACCATGTTATTTCTGTAACAGTTCACTGTGTGGCCTCAGGAAAAACATTTTTCAGGGCTCAATCCCATTGACAATACAAATCATTATAGTCATTTTTAAAAATGCAATTATAATCATGTGACTGTCACATGATTATGAATTGATATTAGCATTTCCATTTCCCATCAGCTGGGCTGTGTGTGTCCTCCCTCCTGGTTCTGGATCGAGCAGCTCACCTATTAGCTGCACTGGGTGAGCAGGTGGCTCAACTCAGTCAGGATGGGGGGGCAGTGGTGAGGAAAGTACTTCTCCATTCAGTGCTCACTACCTGTCTCAGCCCCATGGAAATGACAGATGACCAAGTGGAGGATGGTACTTCAAGAGCGGATGGATGGGAAGCTCGAGAATAGGCAGGAAAATGAGTATGTGTGGGGAACTGGATATCTAGGATGGAGAGGAGGACAAGAGAGAAAGGGATGTAAAGAGAAAGAGAGCAATAGATGAGGGTGGGAATGGCATGGCGGAACAGAAGTTGGGAAGGATTTGGGGGAGAGGAGAAGAGGTTGGTTGAGGGATGGGGTGGAAGGGGAGGAAGGTGGGGGTTGAAAGGGAAGAGAAGGAAGACTGGGCTGGGCTGACTGGTAGCTGAGAGTTAGCTGCTTGGCGAGGTAAAACCTTTTTTGGCAATCTGGTATAGCACTGTATCAGATAACAGGAATTTTAAAAACTAATTTCCATATGTAGAATTTATTCCAATGAATCGATTCCACATCCACTTTAAAATAAACTGACGTCTGGCTCACTGCTGGTCAAAATAAAATGATCCCCTGTCACAGTACTTTGTGCATGCAGCCACCTCGAGTTTCACCAAAATTTATATTGAATTTTTTAAAACAGGACCTGATTCAACAGTGATTCGTACTGTCAGTAAACTGAGCCTTCAGCCACAGTTTAGCACTGGTAAAATGAGAGTTGTGGTGCTGAACGTATGCTATATCTCAAGGGTATTTTAAGAACGAATGCAGCTGAAAATACAAAAAAAGCTACAATGTTAAACTGTAGTTATTAATAATTACTATTATTCTAAAATAAATGTTTTGAGCTTTTTCAACATCATAAAAATGAAACCTATCATAGCAGGACTTCCTCTTCGCTGATGATGCAGCCATTGTTGGCCACTCTGCTGAAGACCTCCAACAAGACATGAATCATTTTAGCAAGGCCTGCCAAGACTTTGGACTAACAATCAGTCTGAAGAAAACACAAGTCATGGGCCAGGGTGTTGACTCACCTCCCTCTATTACTATCTCGACGCAAGAATTGGAAGTTGTTCATGACTTTATGTACCTTGGCTCAACAATCTCTGACACTCTTTCCCTAGATGTCAAGCTGGATAAACACATTGGCAAAGCAGCTACCATGTTCTCTAGACTCACAAAGAGAGTATGGTTTAACAAGAAGCTGATGGCATATACCAAGATCCAGGTCTATAGAGCCTGTGTCCTGAGTACACTCCTGTACTGCAGTGAGTCCTGGACCCTTTGTGCACGGCAGGAGAGGAAGCTGAACACCTTCCATATACGTTGTCTCCGTCGCATTTTTGGTATCACCTGGCAGGACAAAGTTCCAAATACAGTAGTCCTAGAACAAGCTGGATTTTTAGCATGCATACATTACTGAAACAGCGACATCTATGTTGGCTTGGGCATGCCGTGAGAATGGCTGATGGTTGGATTCCAAAAGATCTCCTGTATGGAGAATTAGTGAAGGGAAATCGCCCCAGAGGGGAGACCACAGCTGCGATACAAGGATATTTGCAAGTGGGATCTAAACGCCTAAGAATGGACCTCAACAGATGGGAAACCTTGACGTCTGAACATTCAGCCTGGAGGCAGGCAGTGCATCATGCCCTCTCCCAATTTAAAGAGACACTTATTCAGCATGCTGAGGCAAAGAGGCAGTCCTGAAATCAGCAAAACTAGGGAGCTAGACAGGGGACAGATTGTATTTATCTTCAGTGTGGAGGGGATTGTCACTCTCGAATTGGCTTTCTCAGCCACACTAGACGCTGTTCCAAGACCTCCATACAGAGCATGTTACCATAGACTCTCGAGACTGAAGGATGCCTACTACTATCAAAGCAGTAATTAAGGACAATTCAACAAAATACCTCAGATTATCCATGTTTCCTGCTCCCTTCAACTGGCTGATTTAAACATAACTGATGAGAACAATTATTCAGCAGAGACACAACAGGGTGCACCTAAGATTTTGGTTTGAAACTGCTGCTTTCTTAAAGTGCACTATGCATACTCCAGTGCAGAAATAAACAACTGTAGCACTCCACATGATTTTAGCCTTTAGTTCTCATAATCACTTATAACTGGTTATACCTGCTACCACAGACAGCAGCTCTAGTGAAAAATATCTGGTGGCCAACTCCTGTTCTGAAGGGAGGGAATAAGTTACAGGTATTTTAAAACAATATTGTGCCTAATGAGTAGCAAATGATTATTTTTAAGTTAAATAAGCCTTTGCATCTCAAGAGGAATTACTTTACCAGTGAAGGCAGAAAGGACTGACAAATTGCAGCCAGTCTATAATTTTTTACAGGTTTTCAGCATCAACAAACTGCCCCACTGCATTCAAGTTCAGGCCAAATAATCTATCACCGGTTTGATCTGGCAAAAGCTAGTTCACTGATAGGCTTAGGTGGGCATATAAACTGGAGAGTTCTGGGAGTAACATTGTAACGTTATGGTTAGGTTATTTTTAATTCAGTAGTTTTAAAATTTTGAGACTATGTCAAGGCAACACAGAGCTTAGGTTGCATATGAAGCTGCTGGTTCCATTGTAATTAAAAATTCCATTTGAAATTCAAAGTGCCTACATTCTTCTTCATATTTGGTGGTTTCTTTCTTCTAGCCCAGCCATAAAACATACTTTACAAATTTGATAAGGATTGTATTCTAATACATATATTTCAGGACACAACTTTCAGAGTGCAAGCTGGAGAAGGTTAATTTGACTAGAAAGAAACAATAACTCTTTCTTTCTGCACACGTACTGTCTAGTATTTACAGATCCAAGGGTGAAAATGTCTATGTTCTAATTAAGTAATACTCTGTTGCACTTAACATTTGTCCCAACACTGCTGCTAAAACTACAGCAATTTAAATATATATTCTTTTAAAGTAAGTCTACCTCTAAAATAACCACATGGATTTCAGCCATAGCAATTCTTGAGGCTAAATCCTCCCCATTCTCTGGGCAGGCATCCCAGAACAAGCAGAGTTCCATAATTTAGATGTGGAACTTTTTATCCATAAATAGACATATTCGGGAGAACATCCTAACAAAAAAAAAAAAAAAAAAAAAAAGGTGTTGTGCTTGTTAAGCTTAAAGGTCTTCCGCAGCTCATAAAACTGGTCCAGAACTGATTCCGCAAAACACATATATTTTATATATACGCTACAGAAATTATATCACTCCCTCTGTTCTCAAATTCATGGAGCAAGTGCCACTATTTAAACAGACAAAATGATTCCATACCCACAAAAAGGAGGCATCTATGAATTCAGAAGAACCCCAAGGTTTGCACATCTAAAATCTGATGCAGGAGAGACACAACATTCAAGGCTAAAACACATCTGGGCATTCATGCAGTGCTTCTTGGAACTGATGGTGTCTTTGTGTGTGGGGGGGAAGTATTTAAATATTTTCCTCTCCCCTCCAGCCATCAGGTGATTTCTCCAGTTCACCTGCACATCCATATGTTGCATTCCCCATACACTAGAGGCAGTATGAGAAAATGCCTGTCCTCCCACGGTAAGAGTGAAGTGAGGGATATGGGTGAAACTATTGACCTTGATGATCGTGAGGGGCTCATACTTGTGTCAATGTAACATTTGCTTGAGGTTCAGGTTAGGAGGAGTTTGTGCCAGAGTGGAAATGAGATGGAACATGCAATTCCACGACCCCCTGGAATGTTCTTAACTCTGGCTAAGGAACAGTAGGAACTTCGTATGTACATCAGGTTCTGGTGTATAGTTATGGATTAATTTAGATTTTAAACCTGTGACAAGGGCCAGGGCTGGTCCTACCATTAGGGAAGGTGAAGCAGCCACCCCAGCAGATTTTGGGTGTCATTAAAAGGCATTCTCTGTGTCAAAATAAGTTGACTAGCTGTAGATATTCATATTCCTTGACTTGGGCTTGAGGAGCCATTTGTTGCTTGCCTTGATAGAGAGTGTCTTTGAGCAAGGCCTTTTAGATGCTAAAACATGCATGGCCTCAATTATGTTTTTATGATACCACAATATATTATAGCCATAATCCGACACAGGTAACTCTATTGGATTGCAGCCATGACCGTAAGGCTCTTACATGCAAAGTCTGAATTAGAGGTCTATTTTTGATTTTATGGTTATTTTAAGTTTTCAAACATTCTTCATATGGTTTTGTTCTAATGTCGAAATCCACATCCATGACATGAAGATTTAGGAGGCTTACATGTAAAGTCCTGATCTATAATAGAAGGCTGCATTCCTTCTCTGTCTCTTTTTATGAGCTTTGCGGACTAACAGGAAAAGCATGAAACTAGAGAAAGCCTGCAAGAAGCTAGGTGCTGTATAACAAGTTAAATTCCTGGACCATCTAGCTGCGTGTGGCTACTTTTGACTGACAACAGCTCTCCCAGGTTCCAAACTGAGGCTTTCCAGCCTCACAGAGAAATGCCAAGAATGGACTCCTAGAACCTTCTGCATAGGAAGCATTTGCTTGAACTAGGTCTCTTTCCCAGATAATTTCTTCACCCCTATTAAGATAGAAGCTAGGACATGTGAGCAACATGCAATCACCTCACCTTTCTTGATGAGGTTAACCATAATGCTTAGCAATCAGCAACTGATATAAAAAGCAAAAGGCCTAAGAGATGTTAAGAGTTGATACTGAGAAAATTATGCTGAGCTATCTCCTGCAACTGTTAATGATGATGAGCAACTGCATCGCTTGCTTACCTGTTCCTTGTTAAAAGGCAAAATTGCTCTCAGGCAGTAAATCCATGCACCTTTGCCTCCACAACAGCATTTAGTTCAGGCAATCAAAAAAAAAAAATATTTCAAAGCATGACTTCCAGCTCCCCAGCCCACCCCACCCCCGCTTTTTGCTGCCTCTATGGGGAGAAGGACTATCTGAAAAGAAACTTTTTTTACGACACCAGGGACTCCTGAGAGGCTGAGTAGCAGCCCTCTACAAGATAGTCCATAGAGGCTGGGGCTAGATTTCTCTTCCTGCTCATGCATTCAAATCGCCCTGTTTTGAATACCTGAATAGACCTCTACCCTTATCTCACAGCATTCTGAGCTGGATAATCATCATATTCATCATCCTCATTTGGAAATGATGGCACCCATAAATTGTAGTGGTATGCAACAAGCTGATTAAAATGACAAAGAGAAATACATTTATCAACTACTGATAATTCTATACAAGACAAGTCAACTTGCATCCGTTTCATAGTCATATGAGTTCTTAACCAGTACAAATGCTGCCTAGATACTGAACAGCTATAAACATCAATATTGTGCACTTTCCAAATCTCTCTGTGACCATCTAAATAAGTACAGATTTTACTGTTCAGTATTTAAGATACTGTACTGTGTTACACAACTTATACTTTCTGCTACGTTAAGCATACTTCATCCTAAAAATGAACATATTGACACCCATTTTTCAGCTTAAAAACACCCAAAAACAGATACAGCTTAATTTAGAGAATGTATGCAAACGGCTGATGAACCATCTGAGCTTGGATTAATTGAAAGCAGGAAAATCCTCTTCTCCCCGTACACATGCAAAAGATTACAATCCTACAAACAGTCAATTCAGTTACAACAGAAAAGCACTTCGATTTTAAGATATGGTATGTATTACGAGTGTTTATTAGATGTACTCATTGATTCTGCCATAGTGCTGCCTGGGAGTCATAGTTTTGCTGTACCTTAGGCTCTGCAGGGGGCACTTCCCAAAGAAATACAACTCAAAGAAAGCATAGCAGCTGTTTTCATTTTTGTATACTGACAACAGAAAGCAAGAATTATCAGAGAATTCTGAGAGCCGGGGTTCCAAAGAAACAAAACAATACAAACAAACAAAAAATGGCACATGCATAATGATAAACTAGGATTCAGGAGACCTGGTACAAATCCCCACTCAGACATGGAAACTAATTTTGGGATGGTACTAGTAAATCCACTCCTTAAATACCTTACATATCTTGAAAATTCTATTAAGTGTGCAATTATTCAGTTGCGACTTGGCAAAAACTGAGGTATAAAATATCCTGTGTTCCTATTGTTAGGAATTTATTTGCAGGTTAAACCCATTTACCAAAACTCCATATGTGGTCCAATGGTAGCAAATCAGTATTTGCCTCAAAAGCAGTTGAAGCTGGATATGTATTTTTGCTCATTATTCCTTTAACTACCTAATACCGTATTTCCCGGTAACGAAAAGGATCATAAGACAGGATCTTATATTAATTTTTGCTCCAAAAGTGCAGTAGGGCTTATTTTCAGGGGATGATTTATTTTTTCTATGGACAACGATCTACATTTATAAAAATACATTTATGCCATATGGTTGCTGCACAATGGTGGAGGGCAGGGTTTCACTTAACTAGGGCTTATTTTTTGGGGTAGAGCTTATATTACAAGCATCTTGAAAAATCATACTAGGTCTTATTTTCAGTTTAGGTCTTATTTTCAGGGAAACAGGGTAGTTACACAGAGGTATAAGGCCAGGTTTCCTGTAGGTTTGTTTACATAACACAATGCTAACATGAGGAAATATGCACAGAAAGTAAACTTCCATAAAATTCCACAACCTAAGAAACAAATATTTAGCAAACGCCAAGGAATTTTACAATTCTAGATCTAAAGCTCATAAACAAAGCCTTGTCAGCCTTTATTCAGATGAGTCTTATTGAAGCAAGGATGGGAAAAATAGCAAGATCAGGGACTGAATAAAGTTTCTGACTCCAATCACAGGTTCTTAGCCAGTGACACAAAGGATCGACAATACATAAAAATCTTACTAGCCAACCTTGGTGTTTACCCATAGGAAATATCTGGGGCTTTCTAAAGATAAGAATTAGAGATAAGTATGTCTGATATGATTGGATCCCCTTTTAAAATGAAATGCTGCTCTAGGGGACTGTCAGTCTCATGGGAGAAGTGGTGTTGGTGTGTGTTTCACTCTTGATCTTCTCATGCCATTTTTGCAATAAAGATACTACCCTGAGGGTAGTGTTATTTTTTGACCCATAAGGCAAAGAGCAGCTTGAAAGAATAATTTAGATTAGGAAGATGTTGGAATGGGAAGAAAATAGTTAAACATCCCCTCTTTCTCCATCCTATTTCACACACACACACACACACACACACACACACACACACACACACACACACACAGACACACACGCCTCTCTTCCAATCCAACAAACAGTCCCCAGTGGCTACTTTTCATTACAAAGCAAAAGTAAGGGAGACCAGGTCATGCTTTCCCTACATATTATATACTGTACCTTAGTCCTAAATGTATAGAACAATTTTATCTGCTATGAAAATGCAAAAAGTGATTATTCTGTAAAGATTCACTTCACAAGCAACCAACAGTATGATAGTCATGGTTTGAGTGCACATGTGCACTTCACTGTGGTCCACCTTGCATGTAACAAGTACATAAGCCGAAACCCCATCTAAATAATACACCAGGATATAAAAAAGAAAATCTGGATCATCCCAGTCCACTTGCTCCCATTTAATGCCTCCTTTTACCAAGAAACAATAACTTCTTGTTACATGAAGCTGGAAATGATGGTTAATCATTCCGAATCAGAATCACATATCCCCTTTAAACATGTTTTAAAATATAAATCACTAGTGTTTTGAATTGTTTTAGTTTACAATGTTTAATGGAACCCACCCGGAGTAGACTTTGTCTAAAAGTGCGGGATAGAAATTAAATAAATAAATAAATAAATAAATAAACAAACAAACAAACAAATAAATAAATAAATAAATGTAAATTGACTTACAAAATATGTCTTGCTTGGGAGTCACTAAACACAACTCTTGTTCACACATCACATGAAGCTTGGGTTAGGGTTTACAATTATGGGAATTTAGCTCCATGCTTTGTTTCCCCACTTGCCTAAAGAAGCCACATGTACCAATACACTATATACTCCGGCTTATTTAAGAGAAGATTTTTAGCTTGATGTTATGTGTGAATGCAGCTTAAGTACTGTATATTCCTGGGTGGGAAGCCACAGAAATGCATTTTTCACATGTGACTCTATATGTGTCAACGATGTCTTTTCTTTTACAGAGAATCCACACAAGAAAGACTGGTAACGGGTGAAGCAGAACGTACACCTTTTAGCCTAAGAAAGCACTTGAGGATGCAATCAAAGATGAGAATGTAATACTGTATATAAATACTAAAGTGAAAACTGCTACAGTGTAGTTTAGAAAGTTGCCCGCCCCGTTGCCTGACCAGGGACTAAACTATATGCTCTGCTTATTGGTTATCATGTAACTATGTGGGACTTTTTGTTTTTTGTTCTGTAATAAATCAAGGCATGCTGGGTATGGTGTATACTTTATATGCAACAAGTGATGCGAAGAGACTCCTCTTTTTAATCCCTTCTGGCAGTTTGATTTAAAATTGTTCTGTTACTCCCTTCTTTGCACAGTTTGGGGATTTATGGCAAAGGTTACCACTAGCACCATCAAGCATTGTTTTTCCTAACTCATCACGTCATGTAGACTGAGGGACCATTCTTCAGGCAGAACATAACTGGGAAGAGAAGAAAGAAGCCTCTACTCACTTCATAGTGCATACAGAGCAACCTCTCCTGCCCAGCATCTTTCTGATTAATTTTTCAAAAAACCAAGATGTAACTACAGGGTGCAGAATAAATGTAATATATAGCCTGACTTTAGGAGAAACAGATTCTGTCAATTGAAGACCATCATGCAGGCACAGCACTTCATTCTGTACACTGTTTAATCCTGCTCTGTCTGCAAAAGAAAGCTCATCCCTTGTTAACAATTCACCCTATGACAATATATAATCTGTGAGATTCCAATCCAGGTATGATCATTTGAACTGCTCCAGCTTCTTTTTGGAGTAGATGAAGGAAATGCCTCCTACCTTTGGGGACCGGTTGTGAGTGTTTTGCTCCATTCTCTAACTTGAAATCAAGGTACAATGTTGGTGTGCGAGTATACACCTTGGACTAGAGAAACAAGAACAAGAAGAAACAATGATATTTCTCACATGAGAAAAACACTCTGGTGGTTACACAGAAGCCGTCAAGGTAAACACATGGAGTTCCACTTACTAGTAATAATGCTAACTCTCAAGTATACATCAGATTTTAAAAGCAAAGCAATAGTATCAAGCTATTTGCGGCAGGGTGGATTTGAGTTAAATCAAATCAGTTTAAATCACAATTTAAATCATGACTTAAAATTTAAAAATCAGGTTTTAAAAAATAATTTAAATCAATCTTTTGTTAAAAATCATTGATTTTTATCAGCTCTGGTTTGCAGAAACATTTATTGTAAGAGTAATGGTGCAATAAATTTCAACTGCAAGATGATAAGCTAGAACATTTTTAAAATTAATTATCTATGTAGAAATACAATACTATTGTATGTGCATGGTAGTCCTACGCAGGTGATTTGAGCAGAAATAAATAGGTTCAATATAAAAATCACACCAAAGAGAGAATGGGGCTGGGAGAAATACATTTCTTTTCTGGTTCTGATCTTCTGTCATTCCCAGGGCATCAACATCCTGGTCCCCTAAGTCCACATAGATTTCATTAGACTCAAAAGAGTGACCTGTTCTTCAGTAGGACTTCAGTAGGACTTACTTTCCTATAGTATGTAGAAGACTACAGTCTAAAATACATACAGTCCTCAATCTGTTATGATCTGCTTGAGCATAACAGTGGATTCCAAAACAAAATTCAGCAGGCTTTTTAATGCAAACCACAATCCAAAACATTCTAGCAAAGCCTTCGCAAATACAAAGTTGCTTGGACTCAGAACAAATGGTGGAACAACAGAAACAAGCAAATAAACAATGTTTACATTCAAGGTTTGGGTCAAAGAAGAGCATATAGGGAAGAAAGGGGAATTCAACTGTGAATAATGACTTTCTGACTAACTACAGTATACAGCCTCAAATCCATGACTGCTATGCATGTGGAACAGTTCAGCTGCCAATACCCTAAGCGTGGAGGCACAGAGTGTAATGCACAAAATTAAGTTCTCCCCATTGTATCTTCATGATTTGCTGTGTTCAAAGGAGGAGGAGGATTGCATAAGCAGGACCCCAGCTGAAAGTTGGCATGCAATGGATCATCCATTATTTTACACTATTTTACACAAGGACAGCAACTAGGAAAGCTGGGAGCAAATCAGCATAGCCTGTGTAACAAAGAAGACAGCCCATGCATGCAGGTTAAACAACCGAAAATCACACAGTCTCTCAGGAAAAGTTGTTGAATAAATGTAGAGAGGAAGAAAGGATGTTGGTATGTTCCAGTAGTAGTAAGAGGGCAATCAGACGGGCATTTGTCCTGCTATCTTGTCTGCTGCAGGGATGAGTTGGTTCACTCTTTTTTCTGGCAATCACATGACAAAGTAAATCAATTCATGCCCAGAACATATCTTCTCACATCTTTCTGAGTCCCTGTTAGGGGCTTCAACTTTTTTTGATCTGGGTAGGATCACTCTGGTTTGGTCTGTTTCCAATGTGTGTGATCAATGGGAACAAACCAAAAGCAAGCCTTCTGGCTGTCAAGGCTTCTTCCGTCTTGAATTTCTGATATCATGAAATGGCTGAGTTTCAAGTATCAGTGAATTCAGCTGTGGGCAGTTTCACAATGGGCCCATCAGACAAGAATTTCATTTATACAAGTGATACAGTGCATCATCAATGGTATACCAGAGGCTGGGGGAGGGAATAAATTCCCCAACACCCAATATCCTAAATTGGCTTGCTTATTAAGATACTTCATAATATTGGAGATTTAAAACAGAAGGCATCAGACCTAATAGGGTCATTTGACTGCAATATGCCATTGGGATGCAAGGATTGCATGAAATGGTATATCACACCTTCACCTAATCCCAAGTGACCCTATTTAGTCTGCATCAGTTCAAAATGAGTAGCGAAGCTGAGCCCTAAGTTAACAACACACTCCTATTAAATCTAGTCCCACGACACTCACTGAATTCTATGGGACTTTCTCTTATGTAAATGAATTAAGCCATTCATGAATGACTATTTGTCTGGGCTAGGGATGTGATCTAGACTCAAATGTTCCCTTGCCCTCGTTCTGAGTCATATCATGCCTATACTCATAACTGAGCTCTTGCCCTCACCCTATGCCAACAAGATTTCCCAGCTTCCCACAAAAATAGACTGTAATTCTGTCCCCCACCCCCAATTCTTTCGTCAGGATACTGTCAAATTCTGCACAATTCAATGCCATTTCATTTGCAACAGTGCAAGATTGTTAATAATTCTGTGCAGACTGTCTCTTTCGGGGAAAAAACAACTGAAGAAATGTCATAAAAATTATTTCCCATAAGGATTCTTGAGAAAAAATTCTTGATGAGAAGAAAAGCAGAATTATTTCTTGGTTTCCCACCATCAGCAAGAGACAAGATTCACATCCCTAAACTGGCTCTGTATGACAAACTATTTTCTCCTGTCTTCTTTCTGATAAAGATTGGCAGGATTTGGCCAGGATTATCGTTCTACTTCAAATAATTTAATATATTTGCTCTACTGTCAGCATGCAAGCCTATGAAACAGATTTCTTCCACCAAAAATAGTGTGTGTGTGTGTTATGATGAAAAAAGAAATACCTACTACATGGAATCTGTAGAAAGCACATATTGCACTCCATGAATTATTAGAAAAGAGCAAAAAGCAAATTGTCATGGCCATGCCACCTGTATAGTGCAGCTCTATTTCAAATATGACACACAATTTTAGTCATCTCATCTCAGGGAGAGTATCAAGCAGGTATGCAGCCTGAATTACCAAGGGCTTGGAATCCTTTCCATAATCTCTTAAAATACCTGAGCATGGAGTAATTCAGAAAAACTGATTGGCAGGAGATTTAGGACAGACAAAAGGAACAGGTTCTTCATTGTGCTGAAGTAGCTTACTGAATTTTCTGCATTAACATGGTAGTGATATATATAGGCTGAAGTTCTGTTGTTTAGCGTTGTAGGTTACAGCTAGGTAAGGCTCACTGAATCAGTGGGAATTTGGCGAGTCAACTTCATAAGCTCCACGGACTGAATGAGCTTACTCTAGTTACAACATACTATGTTAAGTAACTGGACTTCAGCCACAGAAATATAGCTGCTCTCCCTGTACTCAGTCTTAGGTCTGTTGTGTCCAATTTCTGCACAGGTCTCAAAGGCTTTACTTACACAGTTGCATATAATTTCCCATAACGTGTGCATTTTGTTTGCAATTTACCATAATTTAGTGTATCTGCATGTCTCTCTAATGTATATGCGTTTCAATACAGCTTTCTTGTACATGCTTTTTCACGCAACTCAGGAACAAAACGCCTCCCTCCAAAATTTGAAGGAGTGCAAAATAATAACCAAGTTCTTATTGGCATATTAACCTAGAAAATACATATCTATCTATCTATCTATCTATCTATCTATCTATCTATCTATCTATCTATCTATCTATCTATCTATCTATCTATCTATCTATCTATCTATCTATCTATCTAGGTAGGTAGGTAGGTAGGTAGGTAGGTAGGTAGGTAGGTAGGTAGGTAGGTAGGTAGGTAGGTAGGTAGGTAGGTAGGTAGGTAGGTAGGTAGGTAGGTAGGTAGGAAGGATGGGGACTCCAGTTGTGGGACTCAGTGTCAATTCAGACTTAAGTTGCCCACATGACTTGATCAGAGTCAACTTGGGGTTTTTCAATGACTTGGACTTGATTCACAATTCAATACTCACTCACTCACACCTTCCCTTTTTTTCTGGGGGAAAATTTGTTTTTAACAGGGACTTGGGGCTTGGGACTTGATACCAAAGACCTGGATTCAGACTTGGGACTCTGACCCAAAAACTTGCCAACTTTCTTAGTACACAGTATATCCTGGTTTTCTTCCTTGCAATGAGATGATTAAATTATTAAATAGCTGACTCAAGGCAGCTGATAATAAAATTGATTGGGTCACTTTAAAAACTTGAACAAAATTATTTCCCATGCCTACTAACAGCTTACCTGGCCTCTGGAGGAGATCAAGGAGACTAATGGAGAGTAAGTAGCCTAACAAAGGCTACTAGTCATAGATGATTTTGTATTTTAACAGCAGAGCAATGAAACATGCAACTTTTAGCATTAATTATATGATTGGAAACAGTGTCCTATTGTATATGCCCATCTGTCTTATGTAGGTAAGACTGGAAAAATGAATGAGGTCTCTATGAATTTATTAGCAAAGACAAAACCTCGGCCAAGAGAAGCAATTTCTTTTTCTGGCTGTGATCTTTTGTCATTGCCAGTGCTTCAGTAACTTAATTGCCCCAAACCCACACAGACTTCAAGAGACTCAGTAGGGACACCACAGATTTCATTTAGCAAGAAGAAAGACCTCCTGTACTTTGGAGGTGGTCCTTTCAAGCTGTGATTCATTCACCGAATAGAGGAAGGGTATCTTTTTTCAACTGGTTGTGTCAGTATTCGGACAAGAGAGCAGAGCAGCACCAATGGCAGATCTCAGCAGCCACATTAGATACCCAGAAGACTCTTCGTTCTACCTTAAATCTTCACAACAAATAACTTCCACGTAATTCATATTAATAAAGATGTGCTTTTTTTTTATTAAGGCCCATTTTGCATGTAATAACTTTCTTACACAGTTGTGTCATGCATGCCAAAAAAATTCCAACAATTAGGACTGAAAGTATAGGCAAATCTCATAAAACTCCCTGCACAGACATATCCTAAAGGCAATGAAATAAAAAGAATATGAATGAACCGCAAATTACATTTTCTTCAGTGACAATTACTTCTCAGCAGTTCTACAATATCCACTAACATACAATCAGCTGACACCAAACGGCATGTCAACCAACTCAAGTTCATTCATCCTTCACATAAGAAGTGGGAATAGCTATTCTCAAAGAAAAACAAAAAACAGGAATATCACTTCTACTGCAGCATGAAATATCAAGCCATGTTGTCTTGTATTTCAGTCAGTGTACAAACTGTGGTTCTGGCCAAGAAATGAATCAGAGCTACAAATACATCACACTGAATGAATTGTTTCTTTCAAAGATGGGTAGGGGCATTAAATAAAAAAATGCCTTTTAAAACAACACTGAAGTACTCCCGGAAACATCTGAAGCCACATGCTGAAAGAATTTATGATTGCTGTGGTATGCAAACCCCGGTTCAGTTCAACTTTCATACTTTTTTAAAAAAAAGTTATGCATCAGAGCTAAGCCGATGGTATCAGAATGGCTTAACAAGTTAGCTTCAAAATGAGTAAGAGACTTGGTGTTGGGCTTGAACAAATTTTAATATACTAGATTTGTAATACAAAGGCTTCCTGTTGGTATGGATGTGATTTTATTACGCCATGCAGCTTGCATGTGGCATTGATTTCTATTTCTAATGGATAACATCTTTGCCAATAAAACTCAAGAGAGGAATGTTAGAAGTGATAAAATTAAGGACTTACAATCAGAAAAGATTCAGGAAACTGTGTGTCAGATCATCCATGGACCGCATGAAAAACACTTATTGTAACTGCATACATAGCTCGTTTTAAATGCTGAATACCTGCATACTGTTAGAACGTGTTGCTTACTAAAGGCTGCACAATATTAAAAGCCTGCTTAGTGCATATTCTACACAAATCTCAGTAGAAAAACAAGTGACTCTCACAATGTGACCTTGTGATTTATACCCTATCTAGAACATTAAAGCTATTTGCTGGAGTCAACCAAATACTGTATTTACTCTACATTCTCCTGTAGCTGGCTTCTCTGATAGTACACATACCTTCTGCAGCCATTCCCAGATTCCAGTGTTCCTGGACATGATTCTTAACGTCTCAAGCCAACCCCTGTTTAGATAGGTAAAGCTTGTGACTCTCTCTCCCACTGAAAAACTTTTTTTTCAGAAGGATTACAAGTTAACTACATTATCCAAAAATTCCTGAAAGACTACTTTAGGTTTTTTAAATTTCATCTCTATTTCATTCATGAGTTCTTCCACTTGCAAGATATTCAGCATGCATTTAAGCACTGAAAGATGCACTGCAGGTCATGTCTCTCAGTTACGGTAACTTTCCTCTCCCCAGCTACTAGAATCATATATCATGTCCTCTACATGTAAGTATTTTTGTAAGCACCACAAAATGGGTGCTTATCTTCTGTCCAAAGGCAAGATTAGAATTATTATAGAACTAGTACTTTTCCCCAAAACATTTCAGAGATGAGTTGGATCCTTGGACATTGCAGCTGTGAAGGAATTTGACCTGAGGGGCATAATTATTGCATTATGCAAGAAAAAAAGTGCAGCATCAATCTGCGAAGTTCTTGGCACTTAACTTCTCAGTAGTTAAGATCGTCACAGGAGGCCCTCCTCTCCATCCCATGGCCAGCTCAGGTACTGTTGATGGGGTCACACGAAAGGAATTCCTCTGCGGTGGCTCCCAGGTTATGGAATGCTGTCCCTCGGGAGGTCAGGCTGGCTCACTCCCTTTTATCCTTCTGCCAACAGCTGAAGACCCACCTTTTCAGGCAAGCTTTTTACAATCATGACTGAGTCCCTGAATGCCATTCTTAATTAAGATAGTTTTTAACATTTTACATGTTTTGAATGATTCAATGTATTTTAATCAGTTTTATTGTCTGTTTTTAATGTATACATTAATGTGCTTTTAATTTTATTCTTTTTAATACCGTGAGACACCTTGAGTACCTTTATTGGGAGAAAGGCAAACATCATCATAATCTGAAATGGCTACATTGGCACAAGAGGAAAAATGTATGAGATAAACAACATATTGTGCAGCATGTCAGGGAGGCAGATTATTTCCTTGGTCTCTTCTACTTTGTTCCATATTGGGAATCATTATTACAGATGAACAGCCTCTAAGCTGACACTGACAGTGGGTTCGTAGGAATGTCCAGGCAAGACAACCCATCTGCTTCTACATAGGCAAACACTCGGTTAATAAAACCAAGACATGGAATGCAGAGAGGTCAGGGTTCAGCTCTGAAACCGAGGGGGTGGGCTGAAGTGTTCTGCGTGGGGCCAGCTGGAACCTGACTTAACAAGCTGTGCTGCCCGTTTTTCCTTGGTAACCTTTCCTGATTAAAAGTGGATGTTGGCTCAACAGCAAGAACAAAGGCGGCTAGCCGCCTTCCTCTCTTCAAAGCCACATTCCAATATACCACCAAGGCATGCCTCGACATTACATAGGGCAAGAACTGCTCAGTTACTTTACATGCCTCGAGAACAGGGTGCAGCAAGCTAGCTTATAAAATAACCAATAAAAAGGTTGTTTTCAAATACCAAGGTTAAGATCCTTGAAACTCAGCCTCTTCTGACCAGGTCGTCCCTCCTTTTTCCATTTGCTATAAGTGCAAGCCGTGACTTCAGCTGCATTAAACTACCGCATCTTAAAGAACAATATCATTTAATCACAATAATTTCATCATCTCATGGCAACCCTTTGACAGCTAAGGCAACTTCCAGCCAGAGAACAAAAAGGATAATATTCCATGTGATTATAGTCTCTTCCTTAAACTAATGGTTCTATATTTCATGCCTTCTGAATTACAGCTATAGGCAGAAGGGCGTGTTTTGCCCTTGGCTGACCAGAAGGACTACATAACTGGCTTGCTGAGATCCCATGTTTATGTATATTGCAAGGACTTAATAGATTGAAGCACTGGGGACAAAAACTTTCTGCCCAAACATATTTCCCAGCAAGTCACCCTCTGGAGACACTGGGGGTCATCTTTCCTGACATATATTTTGGGAATAGCTAATGCAGTCCATATATCATGATGACAGTGTTCTTGGCTAGGGCTCCATTTATGGGGCATCGCTCAGGCTCTCTTCACGTCCCCAACTTTTTTCTCAAGACTCATCTGTACATTATGAACAATTTATCATTCTAAATCAAAATCACACTAGTGTTTCAGAGACATAATTCCAGCAGACCTTTGTGTTTGGAAAAAATTCAGACTTGCAAAGTCTATGCTTACACTGAGATCAGTGAAAAGGCCACAGCAAGCTCCTTTGCAAATTAAAGGGAGATCTTAAGTAAATTCATGGTGTGAAAACTATATGCTTTCAGCAAAGCAATTCTCTCTTTTAATTATGTGCTCTCTGTAATATATAATTTGACCTTCAGATACTTCCTTCATCATTACAGGGTGTATTGCATCCTTTTCTACCAATGAATGTATGTAGGGAGAAGACAAGGGTCACATCTCATTGCATCATGAAGCAGGCTACAACATTCCTTCCCAGCAAATTGAATGGTGGATAACACAACAAGGCTTAGAGAGAGGGCAGAAGAAGCCACAGATTTGCCTTGATAACCTCTTTCTCTGGTTTGAAAGGAATTTCCACTTTCAACTTTCTTCCTGCCACCAGACTGACTTGCAAAGAAGGAGAGGAGGGTGAATTCCTTCTGTCCACACAAAGACTGGCACAGAAAATCTATTGAAAAATCTCGCTGTTCTTTGCTATGGAAAGAACAGTCATTCACAAGCGATCAAATGAGACATTATGGGGGGGGGGAGTTACAATTCTTTTTAAGATCAGGGGCTGACTTAAAACTGTTGCTAAATATCAAGAGAATCGATCCTGTTAAGGCACAAGATGCATGAGTAATATAAGATCCAGGATTTTTCTTTTTTACCTTTACAGACAGCGCCTCTCCTGAAATGACAGACACCGTCACCCCATTCTGTGAAGGTTTTGGTATTTCTTCATTTTTCAGTTCCTGGTACTGGGGTTCAATCATTTTCTCAGAGCTTCTCAGATTGACCCAAAGCTGTAGCCCATGGGCTGGCTCTTGAGAGCAGGGCATCTCTGCATGGAGAATACCACGGCCAGCTGTCATCCACTGTAACGCAAGAGGAGAAAAGGACAGATAGTAGAAACTTGCAGCATTTGACTTCCTGGAAGCCAGAGAAGCATATTATCAAGAACTCCCCCTTGTCATAAATGTGTATGCACACACACAAAAAATTATATGCAACTAATAAACAATTCTGGGTCTCCTAGATGTAACAGGGCAGTCAAAGATTTTACATTCAAGCAGAATTGCCTGATTACTCCTGGGACATATGGTGCATATTCTTGCTTGGAATTCAAATTTAAATAATTAAATATTATTTAATTTAAATCATTAAATTTTAGGCCAGGAGTGGGAAATACATAGTTGCTGGACTTCAGATGTTTCTAGATTCTCATTGGTCCTACAGCCAATGGGAGAATGGGAGTTGCAGTTAAAAAACATTCAGAGGGCTACACACACCCAATTCCAGGCCTAACATGTAATAATTTATTTTTAGATTTAAATGTAATTTAGTCCTATGTTAATAAGCTGATTGATTCTAGCCCAGGAAGGGTGGGCAACATATGGCTGTGGACTGCATGCTGCCCTCTCAAGGTCCCGAACACATTCCCCAGAACTCCTAGACCTCCTCCAGCATCCCCATGCCTCAAAAAGGAATGTTCTTCAATTAAGTAACCCACATATGGCTGTGGACTGCATGCTGCCCTCCCAGGGTCCTGAACACATTCCCTAGAACTCCTAGATCTCCTCCAGCATCCCCACACCTCAAAAAAGGAATGTTCTTCAGTTAAGTAACCCATGTATTTGCAAAGCACGGCAGGGCAGGGATCTAATGGTTGTTGTGGGTTTTCCGGGCTCTTTGGCCGTGTTCTGAAGGTTGTTCTTCCTAACGTTTCGCCAGTCCCTGTGGCCAGCATCTTCAGAGGATAG